GAAAACCCCATTATCTCAGCCCCAGATCTCCTTAAGCTGATAAGCAACTTCAGCAAAGTCTCAGGATACAAAAATCAATGTGCAAAAGTCACAAGCACTTCTATACACCCAGTAATAGACAAACAGAGAGTCACATCATGAGTGACCCACCATTTACAATTGCTCCAAAAAGGTTAAAATATTTAGGAATACAACTCACAAGGTATGTGAAGGACCTCTTCAAGGAGAACTACAAACCACTGCTCAAGGAAATAAGAGAGGACACAAACAAATGGAAAAGCATTCCATGCTCATGGATAAGAAGAATCAATATCATGAAAATGGCCATACTGCCCAAAGTAATTTAGATTCAATGCTATCCCCATCAAGCTACCATTGACTTTCTTTACAGAATTAGAAAAAAAAACTACTTTAAATTTCATCTGGTACCAAAATAAGCCCATATAGCCAAGACAATCCTAAGCAAAAAGAACAAAGCTACAGGCATCACAGTACCTGACTTCAAACTACACGACAAGGCTACGGTAACCAAAACAGCATGGTACTGGTACCAAAACAGATATATAGACCAGTGGAACAGAACGGAGGCCTCAGAAATAATGCCACACATCTACAACCATCTAATCTCTGACAAACCTGACAAAAACAAGCAATGGGGAAAGGATTCCCTATTTAATAAATGGTGTTGGGAAAACTGGCTAGCCATATGCAAAACACTGAAACTGGACCATTCCATACACGTTATACAAAAAGTAACTCAAGATGGATTAAAGACTTAAATGTAAGAACTAAAATCATAGAAACCCTGGAATAAAACCTAGGTAATACCATTCAGGACATGGGCATGGACAAAGAATTCCTGACTAAAACACCAAAAGCAATGGCAACAAAAAGCCAAAATTGACAAATGGGTTCCAATTAATTAAAGCACTTCTGCACAGCAAAAGAAACTATCATCAGGGTGAACAGGCAACCTACAGAATGGGAGAAAATTTTTGCAATCTATCCGTCTGACCAAGGGCTAATATCCAGAATCTACAAGAAACTTAAACAAATTTACAAGAAAAAACAGACAACCCCATCAAAAAGTGGGTGATGGATATGAACAGACAGTTCTCAAAAGAAGACATTTATGCGACTAACAAACATATGGGAAAAAGCCCATCATCACTGGTCATAAGAGAAATATAAATCAAAACCACAATGAAATACCATCTCACCCCAGTTAGAATGGCAATCATTAAAAAAAAATCAGGAAACAACAGATGCTGGAGAGGATGTGGAGAAATAGGAATTCATTTACACTCTTGGTGGGAGTGTAAATTCATCCATCCATTGTGAAAGACAGTGTGGTGATTCCTCAAGGATCTAGAACCGAAATACCATTTGACTCAGCAATACCTGTCCTAGGTATATACCCAAAGGATTATAAATCATTCTACTATAAAGGCACATGCACACATATGTTTATTGCAGCACTATCCACAATAGCAAAGACTTGGAACCAACCCAGATGCCCATCAATGATAGACTGGATAAAGAATATGTGGCACACATATAGCATGGAATACTATGCAGCCACAAAATAGGGTGAGTTCATGTCCTTTGCAGGGACATGGTTGAAACTGGAAACCATCACTCTCAGCAAACAAACACAGGAAAAGAAAACCAAACACCGCATGTTCTCACTCATAAGTGGGAGCTGAACAATGAGAACAAATGGACACAGGGAGGGGAACATCACACACCAGGGCCTGTCAGGGGCTGGGGGACTAGGGGAGGAATAGCATTAGGAGAAATACCTAACGTAGATGATAGGTTGATGGGTTCAGCAAACCACCATGACACATGTGTGCCTGTGTAACAAACCTACATGTTCTGCATATGTATCCCCGAACTAAAAGTATAATTTAAAAAAAAATCACTGAAGTACTATGGAGTATGCATTTTATTATTATACCAAATCAAATATGGTGGTATCAAATGATAAAATGCAATCACTTTATAGCAAATGTTACTGCTATGGCTAAAACATAAACAAATGAAATTCTGTTGTTAAAAATTGCAGTTGAGGCCAGGCAGAGTGGCTCATGCCTGTAATCCCAGCACTTTGGGAGGCTGAGGTGGGTGGATCACCAGAGGTCAGGAGTTCAAGACCAGCCTGACCAACATGATGAAACCCCATCTCTACTAAAAATACAAAAAATTAGCCGGGTGTGGTGGTGGGCACCTATAATCCCAGCTGTCGGGAGGCTGAGGCAGGAGAATCGCTGGAACCCGGGAGGTGGAGATTGCAGTGAGCCAAGGTCACACCATTGCACTCCAGCCTGGGCGACAAGAGCAAAACCCTGTCTTAAATAATAATAATAATTGCAGTTGATACCATGGCAATTGACATGGGGATTAAGGAGTAAGTTCTTGTAATAGTTACGAATACCCTGCATTCCAGCCGCACCCCCAGATAATTCCAGCCATGTACTTCTGGCCAAGAACGACTTAGATATCTGAGGATTTGAAAAACATTTAGAACCCACATTGTATTCACAGAATATGTTCCCAACTATGCCATTAGCCAAAGGCATAATTCTTGGTACAGATGGAATAGGAAGCTGGAGGTGTTTCCTACTTATTAAAGTCATAAAAAAAAATTTTTGGAAGGACTTTTTGATTGTCCTGTGGTAACCACTGACCAAAAGAACAGATTGGGACAAGCCCCTCGGTCTGGGCTGTTGTCTTGAACCTCCAAATTGTCCCTGAGCTGGGCTGTGGTTTGAAAGTTGCTGCCAGGCCTTGTCTACTAGGTTGTTCTACTAGGTCACTGTCTGGAGGGGCGGGGTTGTGGTGAGAGCACTCAGAAAGTGAGGCTTCTCTGACGAGCAGCAACTGTGGAGGAAAATGGAGACTGCACAGTAGAAAGGAGTTGACACTTTTCCTAGGACTGGAGACAGAGTCAATCAAGTGGGAGCCAGGTATTAAGCTAATAATAGCCCTCAGCTGATGGATCTTACTGTCTTACATTACTGTTTTTAAATCTGTTGCTTCTTGTCAAATACAGTTTAAGTTCTTGAAGTCAAGGGATCTTGGCAAATACCACTTACTGTCTTGCACATACTAAGTGCTCAATGTCTAGTTTTTGTTGCATTAAGAAAAAAATTTTTTTAAAGTCATACTTTCTAAATTTTATTCTCTTACATGAATTCTGTCTGCTGTATGAATCCACCAGACCGAACGCTGGAGGCAGGATTGGGGATTTTGTTGGAATTTGCCAGGTGTTGAGTCTTACTGCGATTCTGTCACTGTATTGTCATTTTCCCTTGCAAATAGGGTGGGTATCTAAAGGAATCCCATGAATCAGTGGTTAAGAAGAATTCTAATGCTATGACTGAGTCTGTAAAAAAACTTGGCACAGCCTAGAGGAGCAGGGCAAGTCCTGCTATCTCAGAGGCAGTGCACTGGCTGCCAGAGCCCTGGGCTTCCATTCAGCGGATGGGGTTTGAACTCAGCCCTATCACTTATAGGCTGGGCATCCTTAGGGAAGCCTCAGCTTAGGTTTCCACATCTGTGAAATGAGAATTATACTAGTACCTGTTTGTGGCCTTAACAGGTGGGTAAATGAGATTCATTAATTTACTCAATAATGATTTGTTAAATATAATGCCTACAGACACTATTTTAGACATTGGATATACAGCAGTAAGCAAAACAAAAGCCTCTTCCTCATGGAATTTATATTCTAGAAATATAATATGCATAATGGAATTGAACAAACTGTTTATCAGTCACATTGGTTTGAGCCTCTCTGATGAACTCACACTGTGGTTTTTGCTGTTATTTGTCTATAGGTGTTTATGTTACAACAGTAGGTAATTGGGGCTATTATGGGGTCTCATGTCTGAATTGGTATAACCCTAGGGAAGTCCCAGTAAGCAGGATATTTTTGTGTTCTTGCTAAATTGTGGTACGCTTAGAAAGTCTGTTGCGCTTGAACTGGATTACTGTCATTTTTGCCCCCATGAAATGCTTGGTTCAAACAGTCCAGCAGTCAGCTGAGATTCAGGGGAGGCAAGTGGTGTGGCTGAACTGGCTTCTCTCAGTCATTGGTGTTTGCACTGTGACTTACGATTTCAGAGTTGCGAAGGTGCTTGTGTAATTTGTGGAAATAAGTCAAAGGGCTAGCACAACCAATTAAAATCCACAAGCCACATTTCAGTGAGTAATTTCAACCTTTCCTCTCCAAACTTTTGATTAGCCACCCGTCAAAGAACAAAATGGACAAATTGAAGGTTTCAGTTCATTTTTTTCATTGCCTTCCCTCTGGGGCTTTTTCTTTGAGCATTATAATGCCCAAATTCCACGAAAGGCGAAAGGGCAAGCCTGGGCAGCAAACCTCAGAGGAACCGCATTCTGCTGGTAATTGCACACCGCCTCCCAAGAGATGTGTCCGTATTCACCTCCATTGGCTATCACTGTCTTCATGCAGTGCTTTGGATCTCCAGTGGCACATAGCCCATCTGGTTAAAAATGCAAACAGGAAATTATTTTCTCACGGAATGGCCTTTGTGGCCCAAAAGAAAAAAATGGTCATTTCTGCTGAGACATAACTTGAAAAACACTCCCACAACAGTGGAAGCTGAAGGCTCATTATAAGCTAGCCCTGCGTCAGAACAAGGCTGGTGATCGGAGGTGGGTGTGGGAACTCATATGCATGGGCTCAGGGCATTTGTCACCAGTGGACATGATCGAAGAAGCTTCTATCACCTGAAAAGCAGTTGTTCTGCAGGGCAAAGCTTGTTTATGCTCCGAGGAATTACAGAACAGACGTTACTTGGACACGGAGGTTTGGTCTGGAGGAAGGTGACATGGCCCTAACAGCACGTCCCTGGGTGTCAGTACTCCTCTGCTCTGCCCAGCTTTCCGTCATCTGGCCTTCCATGACCTCCTGTGCTCCCATTGTGGTTTCCCTGTGTGCTGACAAGTTTTCTGGTTGTTATGTCTTGCAGCCCCCCGAATCCAAGCCCAACTTCACCCCTCTCGCCATCTTGGCCCATGTTCTCGGCGCCATCCAGCCCTATGCCCACCTCATCCACGTCCAGCGACTCATCCCCCGTCAGGTCTGTTGCAGGGTTTGTTTGGTTTTCTGTTGCTGCCGTTGTTCTCTCATTGGCTTGGTCCTCTCTTCATGCAGTGTTCAGCCTCCTCGTCAACTTTGTTCCCTGCCATCCAAACCTGCACTTGCTTTTTGACAGGCCAGAAGAAGCGATTCATGAAGACTCCAGGTAAAATCTCGGATGATGACCAATCTGTTCCCGTTTATCCAAAGCTGGCCAGGGACAACAGGGGGTTGCCTCTGCTCTCCTGTGGTTCCCTCCTAAGAGACCAGAGCTAAAAGGGACCATTTGCATGAACCAGCATGGCATTTTTCACACCCTTTTGCACCCTGAGCCAAGTTTCTGAATTAATCTCTCTGGTGCCTAGAGTTAGGGGAAGGAGCACCTCCTGAATCAGACTCCGGTTTTGATGGCTCTCTCAATTACGTGTGTCCTCTGTGCTTTGGTGTAAGATAACATAAGAGGGAACAGTGTTGAGACACATGCCAGCCTTCTTTCATTTTTATCAGGTAGCATCAGGCAACGTTTGTTTGTGGGGTTGGGCCCCTTGGGCCTGAGCACTGATACCGAGTCACTGAGACCAGAGCCACTGGGTAGAGACAAATAGAACACAGAATAAAAGCTAGAGAGACGAAGCAGTTTTTGTTAAAGTGCTCATGGCTTATGCTTCCTTGTCCTCCATATACTCCCAGAGCCGTCCATGCTCCCAGCATGCTTCTGTCTCTGTGTCATGAAGCCTGAGCTGTCCCGGGAACAGACACTACCTCTCTCTGAGGGAGAGCAGCTTGACCTAGTTCCTCTTCTCAGGGCCATGCTGTAATTTTCCCTGCTTTTGTGACTTCCACACCTAAGTTCTTTGCTCTTGTGCTCTTTGGAGAAAAGAGCTCTTTACAACCAGGAGAAGAATGAATAGGGATCCTGCAGAATTCCTCTGCTGTGGAGCTCCTGAGCATGTTTCTTTCTCAAGCTTAGTCTCAGCTTTCAGACAACCAAATGGTAGAGCCCAGTTATAAGCATCAGAAGCATTTTGGACTTTGGGAGTATTTTCTCTTCCATCTTTTTCTCCAAAGGGTGGATCCAGCAGAGAGGCTTAAATAATTTATGAAGCCGAGTTTCACTTTTAGAAAAAAAGAAAATCCCATGCTATTTATGTATATACAGATACATATATTACTTTATTCCCTACTAGGCACTTACACATCTGCCATTTCATTCTATCCTCATGTGAGACTGAGAAGAGAAATGGGCGAACCCTATTGTAGAAAAAGAAAACTAAAGCACAGTGAGGTGACTTGGACACAATTACGTGACTAAGAGCCAATCCAGAATTCAGGACTTCTCCCCCTCAGCTCAGCACTGTCTCCTCCAAACACGTGGGTAACCCCAACTTTGAGTTTTTATGCCGCTCCCAGCCTAGAGCCTGGCTTGCTCTTTTAGGTTTTATACAGCTTTCTACCTGGCTTCGTCCTGGATGATGGGAAGGAGCTTTTTAGTATATTCTTTTTTTCTCTCACTCTATAAATAAGAGAAATTTTCAGATCATGTCTTCCTGACATTCTAGTAATTTTCCAGTCATTTCTTGGACATCTCCTGGGCACTTTGGGAGACATTAACTTTCTAAGATACCAGGAATGACATGGATTATTCTCATTAGAACATGAGGACCTGAACCAGAGGAAACTAAGTGACCACAGACACGTCAGCTTCCAAAATGCCTCACTCGCTCATTAGAGAAACTTGGGCTTTAGGAGAATGCAGTTCCTTCGTTTTTATCAAAAAGGAGTGAAATTTTCAAAATATTAGCCCTTCGGACAAAATGGGCCAAGAGACTCAAGACAGTGGAATCACTCAGCTAAAATCCTAAAACATTCACTCTGCCTTGATGGTACTCACTTTTTTGTGTGTCTGAGCTTTGGGGCCCTGTTTCTTATGAAGTATCTCTACCTCTTCACTCCTTTTCATCTCCCAAAATATTTCCATACTTTTTTTCTTTCCTACTCCTTCCTACCTCTCAAAGCATTTCCAGATTGGCAGAGGACAGTGGCAATACAATCAGCTCATCTTGTGTATCTGGGGTAACAGTTAGTCAATTCCTTCTCCCCTGGCCATTGTTAGAATTGTACCATTTGGACGCCTTTAGGAAGCTGCCCTCTTGAAATAGTCAAGGCGGGCTGGGCGCAGTGGCTCATGCCTGTAATCCCAGCACTTTGGGAGGCTGAGGCAGGCAGATCACCCAAGATTAGGAGTTCAAGACCAGCCTGGCCAACATGGTAAAACCCTGTTTCTACTAAAAATACAAAAATTAGCTGGGCATGGTGGCAGACGCCTGTAATCCCAGCTACTCAGGAGGCCGAGGTGGGAGAATTGCTTGAACCTGGGAGGTGGAGTTTGCAGAGCTCGTGCCATTGCACTCTAACCTGGGTGACAGAGCAAGACTCCATCTCAAAAGAAAAAGAAAAAAAAAAGAGTCAAGGCAGAGTTGGGCTAAATGTGTTTGCCCAGGTGAGCACAGATAGCAACACTGCTGAGGAGCTAGCCCATCGGAGGAACAGAGAGGACCCAAACCCATACACTGTAGTGTATAGCAAAGAGGTGGTGATATACACCCATTATTCAGGTCCAGTGGGGCCTCCCCCAAATCCACTTCCAGAGCATGAAGCTTCAGATTTTCTTCCCTGAGCAAAGCCTTTAAAATTAAATACTGAATTAGCCCTAATCAGTGGCCCCATGAACTGAATGATGTCTCCTCTGGAAATTGCTTCCTGTCTGGATTAGTCTGTTTTCATGCTGCTGATAAAAACATACCCTATACTGGGAAGCAAAAGGTGTTTAAAAGACTTATAGTTCCACATGACTGGGGAGGCCTCACTATCATGGCAGAAGGCAAGGAGGAGCAAGTCACATCTTTCATGGATGGCGGCAGGGAAAAAGAGAGTTTGGGCAGGGAAACTCCCGTTTTTTAAAACCATCAGATCTCATGAGACCGATTCACTATCACGAGAGCAGCACAGGAAAGATCCTCCCCCATGATTCAGTCATCTCCCACTGAGCCCCTCACACAGCACGGGAATTATGAGAGCTACCAGATGAGATTCAGGTGGGGACGCAGAGCCAAACCATATCACTGTCCCCTCTTCAAACCATTTGTAGAGCTTGTTTGTTCCAGCTCAGGAATGAAGATGCCTTTTGCAGCACAGTAGAGAAAGGGTGCGGGAGACACCTTCCCTCCCTAGTTCCTTTTTCTTCTGCTTGCTCACCCCTCCCCCCAAAAAACCTATAGTCCCAAACCTATAACTTGCATTTGCATAGGGGTCCCTGGAAATTATGCCTAAATGATCGACCCCTCGCCACTTGCCAGTCTAGCTGGCGTCACCTCCCTGAAGTGCCATATGATGGAGAATGGCTCATCATTTTGCAAGGCTTGCAAGGGCATTTGAGGAAAACTCCTCTGAGTGCTTTCCAGGCCTTGTGCCATGCTCAGAGGCGAAAATTTAAAGGGAACTAGCAGGAGGATCCAAACATGTTCATGCCCATAAAGGCCCCGCTGAGGTCTGAAGGGCTCTGTGACCGGAGCAGCCGAAAACCACCCCAGGCTCTCTGTATCCAGTTTTGAGATGCACTGTGGAGAGTAGGAAGCCAAAGAACCAATGATGCCTGGTGGAGATTTTTAATTTTTTTAAATCAGAGCCAAAACCTACAAACACAGCCTCTCTGCCAACAGGATTTGTCTGTTTTGGTAGGAACCCTACCTAAAGCAAACCGCTTAAGGTCTTTGAGGAGTTATGGGGTACTTGACTTGTTGGGCTGACAAGCTTTTAAGAAGATGAGACTTTTTTGGTAGGGTTGCCAGATTTAGCAAATAAAATAAAAAATATAGCATACCCAGATAAATTTGGATGGTAAACAACACAGAAATTTTTGTATACAAATGTCCTATGCAATATTTGGGACATAACATATACTAAAGAAATATTTATTGTTTAATCTGTCATCCAAATTTAACTAGATGTCCTGTATTCTATCTGGCAACCCTACTCTTGGGGAACAGAAATGGCCCCCTGTCATTTCTCCCATTTTTGTGCCTATTCTAAGGCAGCAGAGGGAGATTTCAAGGGAAAAGGCCGTCCCATACACTGTTGGTTACCTATCAACTTGAGAAGAAAACAAGGCCCTTTCTTGGCCTTTGTTTTAATTAATTTGTTTTTGGGTTTTTTTTGTTTTTTTTTTTTTTTTTTTGAGATGGGATCTTACATGGCCCAGACTAGAGTGCAGTGGTGCAATCTCAGCTCACTGCAGCCTTGACCTCCTGGGCTCAAGCATTCCTCCTGCCTCGGCCTCCCAAGTAACCTGGACTCCAGGCGTGTCCCACCATGCCTGGCTAATTTTTTTATTTTTTGTAGAGTTGGAGGTCTCCTAGTCTAGTCTTAAATTCCTGGGCTCAAGCAATCCTCCCACCTCCCAAAGTGCTGGGATTCGGGTGTGAGCCACAGTGCCTAGTCTGTTATTTTTGTAATATACTATGTTATTACCACTTCATTACTCAATTCCAAAAACCTAATATCAATGGAATGTTACTCCTTTTAAATGATAATCTTGGGCACCTAAGACGATTCCCTTTAATTTCTGCCTGCCAAATACCTCTGCTGCTTTCCCGGCTTGCCTCTGTATTGTCCCATTACCTTTATTTAATGAGATTAATAAGTAATGTCTGCGAAAATCCAGCCAGAGGAGCCTTGCCTCAGATGCTGTTTCCCTTAGTTTTTATTCCCCCTTCCCTGGTCTCTTTGCTTTTTACCCACCTGCTCTGCCCTAACCTCAAAAGGCAGAAATACTGCCTCAAAACCTGGTCTCTGAGACCTTGGCTAATGTGAACTAGAGTCTCCTTTCACCTTCAATGTCCTAACAGGTTCCATTTGCCTGTCAGTATAGTCTTATCTGTTTGAGCACTTTTCACAGCCAAGTCACTCCTCCTCTCTGCTTCCCAGCACCCCCAAGAAAAGCCTCTTATGTTCCTCCCTGGAAAGGTGCACAAAGGATGTTTGACCCTCGCTGGCCAACACACAGACTTGGTTTCTTTGGATCACAGACTATGCCCCTTGTCCTGAACTTTATTCTTTAATCGTAATTAGACAGGAAGAGGTGTTTTCCTGTTGGAGCTGAGGAATACTAAAGACTCTTCTTTTCTTCATTCCCAGGGGTCCCACTTCATTTTCTCCCACTTTCCTAATGATTTCCCACCTGGCCATCATATCTTGGCTCCAGGAAAACCAGAGGGAACAACAGTAAACTGCGCCCCAGCAATAAATTCGAGATAACCTTTACTCTGATGACCCTGCACAGTGGAGACCATGTGGCTCACAAAACCTAAAATATTTACCACCCGGCCCTTTGCAGAAGTAGTTTACCACTCTCTGCTCTAGAACAGTTGTTCTCAACCCTCATTGCACATTGGAATCACTTGGAGAGCTTTTTAAAAATACCGATGCCTACATAATATCTGCACATCTGGGTAGAAGCCAGACATCTGCATTTTCTAAATCTCCTCAGGTGATTCGAATGCACAGTGAGGGTAATTGTCAACACTCACCTGGTATGAGAAAAGTAAAAACAAAACACCACGTGTCCCCTTCCCTTCTTCCTTCTCCCCACACTCCCCATACAGGTGCGCGTGTGTGCTCATGTGCACACGTGTGTAATTGCCCTCACACACCTTGTCTGTTCCCTCCCCTGGGGGTTGGAGAGCTCCAGTTCTGGAATCCTGCCCCACCAGCAAGACCCAGCCTGGTAAGAAATCAAGAACATCTGGGAGAACTCATGTCCACCTGTGGCCCGGAACTGAAACTTGGCTTTGCTGGAATTTCTCCTTTTTAACTCACTGAGCATTGCCAGCTTTCAACAGGGTCTGTTGGGAGTGAGTTCCCCAGAGCATCTTGGAACTTTTTGTCCTGACCCTGCCTCCCTCCCCCCCCCCCCCACCCCCCCCCCCCCCCCCCCCCCCCCCCCCCCCCCCCCCCCCCCCCCCCCCCCCCCCCCCCCCCCCCCTTTTGCTTCCCAAAAAAAAGGGGGACCCAGCCTGCCCTCCTGCTGTTTGGCTGTTATAACTCCCAGGTAAAGTTTTAACATGACACAAGGTGACCCTACAAGAAGGGTACTTTCTTGAAGCTTATGGCTTTTCTCTGAATTTTTCTCATTTTTCTCCTGTGACCTTTGCAGCTTTCCCACCTCATGTCTTGCCATCTGGCTGCCTTGCCAGGCACTTCCCACGAGAGGGGACTAGGTAGCTTACAGGGAAAAGGAAGAAAAGAGATTAAATGTCTGGGGCTTTCTAAGGGTTTTTTCAAGAATGTTAAATAAACTCCTGTTTTCACACAGCACACCGTTCCGGAAGGCAAAAGCCTTGTATGCCTGCAAAGCTGAACATGACTCAGAGCTTTCGTTCACAGCAGGCACGGTCTTCGATAATGGTGAGTTTCTCATCCCCTCACAAAGATATGGACAGGGGGCAGGGGCAAGGGAATCACATAAATAACTGGCATTTTCACAGTTCCTCCCTAGGGAAAATCTCAATACAATGGGTAAGAACAAAAAACAGAGAGAGAGAGAGAGAGAGTGAGAGAGAGTGAGTGAGTGTGTGTGTGTGTGTGTGTGTGTGTATTGGTTTCGGGAGACACTGTGAAGAATGGACTAGCGTAATCAGCTCTGAGTTGAGTTGTTACCACAGTAAATGAGATTATGCCTACAGAAGACCCAGCCCAGAACTTGGAAGTGGATTTGAGAGATCATATACACCACATGTTTAAAATGGTACTCAACACATATTAAGTATTCAGTAAGTTAATATTTTTATTATTAAGGCCATCATCATCATTGTATCTATCTTCAAAAAAGGCCCTGATGCTCTTATAGTTCACAGTGACAGTTTTTCCTTACTTTTGTCTGGGCGGTGGATGCTGCACCTGCCTCCATGGGTCCTGGCTACATCTGTAAAGGTCTTACATTCCAGGCCAGAGCAGAGATGGGTTGGGACCAGCCCTTGACTGTACACAGGTCCAAAGAGGCTGTCATTGTGTCTACCCAGCCCCTACATTCAGCATAGCAGAGGTATCCACCAGGCACGAGTAGACAGAATGGGGAACAAGGGACAGAGCATGGGGGTTTCCCAGATCACACAGCTTTTGGCCTTCTGGGTCAGCAGGAGGGGGAGGGGTTACTCCAGAACAGCATGTGGCCTTCTGAGTCTGCATTCCCTTTTCTAGTTCTCAAAGCCTCAAGCACTGTCCTTAAATCTTTGCTCCATTAACTCTCATCGGGGCCCTTTATAAATCAAAGCGCACAAACAGCCAGCCCAGCCACCTCTCCTGTCCATGGCTGGTGCTTGCAGCAGACTGCAGGTGCAGTGCAGGTACAGTGGGTCTGCTGAAGGCTCCAAAGCCATCTCACTGGTGAGTGTCCCCAACATAGGCCCAGGCGGCGGAGTCCTAGCCCTGCCGTAACCTGACATGGCTCTCACAGAAGACAAACCAGATGGGCTGCATTGCTTGAGCTTCTGTGCCCTGCTTCATCAGCAGAGAAGGGGCTTCTGCCTGTATATAAGCAGGATTTGAGAGATTTCTACATTGGCAGGTGAATCCAGGGCTTAAAGGTCCGTCCTCTAAGTCCCACTTCACTGCTCACATGGGCAAGAGATCATCGCGTTCCTATCAGCCATTCCCTCTGACAACACAAAGGACTCTTGCTTTCAGGGGCAGAATTGTTTTAAACTATCAAAAGTTATGTATATGCTTCTATCTTAGTTGTGATTTCTTTCTGTGAGTGCAGCCTTCTTCCATTTTCCAACAGTTTATTAAGATAGCCACACAACATACAATTTACCCATTCAAAATGTACAATTCAATGGTTTTTAGTATATTCAGAGTTGTGCAACCATCACCACTATGTAATTCCAGAATATTTTCATCACCCCCAAAAGAAACCCCGTATTTTTAGCAGTCATGCCCTATTTACCACAGCCCATTTCCATCCAGCCCAAGGCAACCACGCTTCTACTTCGTCTCCCTAGATTTGCCTGCCCCGGACGTTTCATACAAATGGAATTATACAGTATATGATCTTTGAAACTGGCCTCTTCACTTTGCATAATGTTTTCAAGGTTCATCTGTGCTACAGCATGTGTCGGAGCCTTACTCCTTTTTATGTGCGATAGTATGGATACGGCACATTTTATTTAAGCTCATTCATCAGTAGATGGACATGTTGTTTCTATTTTTTGGCTACTTGAATAATGCTGCTGTGAACATGTGTGTTGAGTTTTTGTGAGGGCATAGTTTCCAGTTCTCTTGGGGATATACCTAGGAGTGGGAGTGCAGGGTCATATTATCTCTGTGTTTAAGTGTTTGAGGAAACACCAAACTATTTCACAAAGAAGAGGCAGGAGAATTGCCTGAACCCAGGAGGCGGAGGTTGCGGTGAGCTGAGATCACGCCATTGCACTCCAGCCTGGGCAACAAGAGAGAAAATCTGTCTCCAAATAAAAAAAAAAAAGAGAGAGAAAGAGGTTGCACAGTTTTATGTTCCTGACGTCTTTCATTTTTAAGTCTTTCTGCAGTGGCTTAGATAGTTAAGCATAAAGGGGAGAAAAAGACAAGAAGAGAAGAGAAGCCTGGATGACTGTTAACTCCCAAGTCCTTTTCTTCCCAGCAGAACGTCCTTCAGCTTCCACAGCCATCTTCATGGCCACATCCAAGCCCCAGCCACCTCTACCTCTCACCCGGGAGCTGCCACTGGCCACCTGACACATCTTGTCACTTCCACTCTTGCTCCTGTCACCCCTTCTTTACACAGCAGCGAGAGTGATCTTTGAAAAATGGAAATTGCACTAAAGTCCTTCAGTGGCCTCCCATTGCTCTGAGAATTACTTACAAGACCCTCCAGGGCCCAGATTCTGCCCCTCTGACCTCTCGCCCTCCCTTGACATACTGCAGCCTCATGAGCCTTCTTCATGTTCTCAAATAAGGTCAACAAACTATGACCTGCCGGTCAAATCCAACCCGCCACCTGTCACCTAGCAGGTTCTGTATCTGCTGTCATCCACAGCATGGTAATCATTATAAATCCTATATGTGTTGGTAGATGACAGCAGAAGGGAAGTTTGGTGGAGCGAGTGAGAGGCCTCACTCAAGACTTCCTGTGGTCTCTAGGAGTCGTGGCAGAGTTCACTGACACTGGTTTGTTTTTAACTAGCCTTGACGGTGACCTTTCAAATTCCCTGAGGAGCAGAAGGCCAAATTAAACCTGAAAGAAAACACCTCCGAGCTGCCATAGAAAATGGACCTGACGAAATGTTAGCACATTTTCTCAATTGGGTTAGCTGAAAATATGTTATTAGGTCTTCTTTCCAAAGAAAAATGCTTACATAGACCCTCTTCCTCCCCACCCCCTCACTTCTATAGGAGACAATGAGGCATTACAGAAGAACACTATTATTCTGTCAAGCAGGGGGGTCTTTTTCCTTGTTCCATCACTTGTTAGTTTACCCTGGGGATATTAGGTAAGGGCTATTTAATTTGTATGCTGTGTAGCTGGCAGATTAAATCATCAAACCAATAAGGAGAGAGAGAGAGAGAGAGAGAGAGTGTGTGTGTGTGTGTGTGTGTGTTTGTCAGAATTAAGAAGAATGAATAAGAGGAAAAGGGAGGGGCCCGTGAAGGAGAAAGTCTGTTTTGTAATGATTAATCGCAAAGCCTTTGGATTCCAGGGGCCCCTACTATGACTCTGGAGTGGCTACTGCTGTCAGCTCATGGACTTTGTGCAGTGGGAAATGGATATGCAATACCTAGAAATAATTCCAGTGTCAGCCCTAGCCAATCTACTGCGAAACTGTCCATTTCAACAAGAGCACCTCAGACAGTAATTGGAAAGAGAAATAGCTCACGTTCTCAGTAACATTGGTCATCTTGAAGCCACATGATTCGTGATACCTGGAAAATGCACATGGCAGTCACTAAAACTGGGATTCTTTTAACAAGATTTGATAGGAGCTGAATCCATTCATTCCCATGGTATCTGACACAGCACCACCTCACGGCAGGGCTGTCCCAAGTTTCCTTTACTGATGGAGAATATCCTCACTGGGGAACCCCCAAGCTGCCTAGGAAATGGGTTAACAGGAGAGCAGTCAGAGATGTCCTTCAGCTTCCCCAGCCATCGTCACTGCCACACCCAAGCCCAGGCCACCTCTACCTCTCCCCTGGACGCTTCCACTGACTGCCAAACACATCTTGTCACTCACTTCCACATTTGCTCCCACAACCCCTTCACACAGCAGCAAGAGTCATCTTTGAAAATTAAAACCACGTATTTTATTTCCTGCTTAAAATCTACCGGTGGCCTCCCACTGCTCTGAGAATTACTTACAAGGCCCTCCAGGGCCCAGTTCCTACCCTCTCTGACCTCCTCTCGCCCTCACTTGGCATACTGCAGCAGCCTCTTTATGTTCTCAAGTAAGGTCAGCAAACCATGACCTGCCAGTTAAATCCAACCCACCACCTGTTTTGTAAATAAAGCCTTACTGGAACATAGGCACTCATGCCTTTGTGTCTGCATGTTATCTATGGCACTACAATGCCAGAGTAGAGGAGAGAGACACACTCACTATGAGGCCCTTTAAGAAATACATGCACACCGCTCTTCTAAAGTCACGTCAGCTTTTTCCCATCGCAGAGCCATTGCACCACCCACTGCTCTAGTCTGTCTCTCTCCTCTTACTACCGCCCAACATTATATGCTTGCTTATTGCTTGATTGTCCCTCCTCAAGAGCAAAATCTTATCTGCTTGTTCTGTGCTATGTGCACAGAAGTGAGGACCTAGCATGGTGTCTACAGCATGTGGTAGGTGCTCAGTAAACATTTGTTAAATGAGTGAATGTAAATTACCCAGGGGTCTCCACCTCTGTTAGTTAAGACTTCTTTTGGGGACAGTCAGCCACTAGAGACCTTAGTCACACACTTGCTCCTTGTCCATGGTGAGCGAAGGAGGGCAGAAGACGTGAGTTGTGTACGCAGAGTGTATTGTGTACACAGGGGCATAGCTGAGAGACAGTGGTTGGTTGGCAGGAAGCCTACCCAAGTCCCCAGCAGCTTATATTTAGTATATGCTTGCTGGGCTGAAGAGGCACTCAGGCAGCTTGCAGCAATACCTTTTGTGTTCGTACAGCATATTGGACCCTGGTACAGCTCAGTGTTGGACATTGGTGCCATTCAGCCCAACAAGCACTTAGCATCTTTTAAGTTCAGAGCATTGGGCCAGGCAACAGCAGTGGTAGTTAAGACGACAGACTCTGGGATCAGGTGTCCTGGGCTCTGATTCACTTGCATCATCTGCCAGCTATTAATATTTAATTTTGGCCAAGAAACTTAACTTTTCTGAGCCTCAGTTTTTCATCAGTGAAGTGTGAATAATAGCAGAACCGACTCCATAGTCATTCTGAAGATGGAACGGGGAAATAGAGGTGTGACGTGCATATTCACAAAGGGTCTGCTGCCTAGCATGTGCTCAACCTGTGTTATCATTCTTATGGGCAAGGGTCACACCTCTGGTTAAATAGAGGCCTGATATAGTGGGAAGGGGGTTGGTCTCTGGAGTCAAATAAGCTAGGTTCAAATTTTGGTTCTAGTATTATGACCATGCACAAATTAATTGACCTCTCTGAGCCTTAATTTTCTCATCTGCAAAATACAGATAATAATAGTACAAACTAAGATCTTGAGGATCAAATGAATCAATATGTCTAATACTCTGAGCACACAGAAGCTTCATAATAGATGTAAGTGTTAGCTTGTATCATTATAATTCACGAAGCAGAAGGGAGTTACTGAAGGTTGTCGAGCCAGGAAGTGCTATAATCCAAACCAAAACGCACTGAAAAACTAGATAGAGAAGCAAAGCTTAGCACATTTGAACAGCATATAAATAAGACCCATGAATACTATGTGGGATGTACTATGAGCATTTTAGGAGTCTGGAGGAGGAGGGAGCAGGTAGAAGGGATTCCATGGTAATATTTATGAAGAAAGTGGGGCTTCTCAAAGGCCTTAAGCAGCTAAGCCTTAACGCGGAAACAGAAGACAGCAGAAAGAAGTCGGGGGGAGGGGTATGTGGTGCTGCCTTCCTCCTCCATCAGTAAATGAAAATTTGTGTTTTAACTCAGAGGCATTTGGGCACAGAAAAGTTATAGCTCCTAACTTTCTGTGAGCTAGTGAAAATACAGGTTCCTGGGTCCCACTCCCAGAGATTCTGCTTTAATTGATTTGCCATGGGGCCCAGAAATGTGCAATTTGCATAAGCATCCCGAGGGTCCTGATGCACATGGTCTGACATATGCTTTAGTATACGCTGGCTTGAAGACTCAGCAAGTCAGCAGCCAACCCAAAGGCTGTGTTATCTTGTGACCTACCTCTTAGCCCCCAGTTTGGAGGGCCTCTCTTGTCCCCTCTAATTCTTCCCTGAGTCCCCAAATTGCATTGTGTTTCCAACTCTGTACCTGTGCTGTGTTTGAACAGCTGACCAGGAAAAGGAGAAAGGTCTGAAGGAGATGGACTCAGAGCATCCGGTAGAGTAACAGCTCAACTCAGAGCTTTGCTGCAAAGTGGGAGGGCCCGGTTTTGGGTTTTTGTTTTGTCAGTTTGGTTACTTTATTCTTGCTAGGTCTTTCGTTTTGGAGAATAAGTTTGGTAATTTTGTTCTAAACCTTTGATTTTTTCTGAAGCTTAGGTAGGTGATAAGGGTCATCTGGTTTTACTAGGTTTTTACTGGAAGGGGATCTTGCTGAGCAGTCCCAATCCAGGGTGTCCTACTGACTAGCCTGCACTGAGCATTTGCTCTGTGCCTGGCTCTGTGCAGAGTGCTTTATCCACACTAGGTCCTTTCATATCTGCAGGAACCCACAAAAGAGAAGAGAGTCTTGTTGCCAGTATGAAGTGCAGAAACGGAAGTAATCTTGGAAGCTTTGGTTGGATGGGCAGAGGGCAGGAGTATTAGGGTGTTCTTTAAGAATGGCATGGGAGAGCTTTGGTAATTGGAGAGGCCAGGTTGCTTTTAAGTTCTCTCTTCTTCCAAGGCACTTCTCTCCCAGACTCTCTCGTATGGGTTGTCATGGACCCAGAGTATCCTTGCTGTTTATTCCTGAAGCCTAGTGTTCTGAAATTGTCCAACTCTGGAGACCAACTAGTAGATGTTTGGCCTTGTCTTTTCCTAAGGAGGCACTTAAGGTGTACCCAAAGTTGACTGACACTGACCTTCTGGAAGCCTCAATGCCGGTTCTTTTGCTGCCTCCCATTTGCCTCCTTTGGTTTCTGTTCTTGCTTCTTTCCCTACAAACTGAAACTAGAATTCAATAGCAGTGTCAGGGCGGAAATGCTTTTCTAAAACAAGCTCAGGAAGTCATTTAATTAGCCCAGGAAGGGAATAGGGGAAAATCTATTCTCTCCAAATAATCTTGGAAAATTGGAGTTTTCCTAACACATTAAGAGTAAATGCCTTGCCTCGCCCTAGAGTGATCTGTATATCTTCAGCTGACAAGCGTGAACATCCCCCACCTCTTAGTCCCATGATTCCTTCTCTCTTCCTTCCTGCTATTGGCTACTTTGCAGACTCAGCTGGATTTTATGTAATCTTTATAATATCACAATGGTTTCCATGGAGAGGGATCATGATGTCACAAAAGTGTATATATATTCTTTGGATACTGAAAAATCAAAGGGCAATAGAAGGAGGAAGAAAACAATTTTCCAACTGGTATTTAGAAGAGGGGAAAATCTAGAGAACAGGAAAGAAAACTAAGAAAGGGTGTGAGCAAAACAGAGAAATGGCTATTCAAAGGCTGTCCAAAATGACCATCACAAAAAAAAAACAGAAAATGTGCAAGGAAATTAGAAGCAGGGGTAAGGATTTGAAGGAAAGTAAGATGATGATTAGCAGCAGGATTGATTGATTGAGACACAGTCTTGCTCTGTTGCCCAGGCTGGAGTGCAGTGGTGCAATCACTGAGCTCAAGTGATCCTCCCCTTCAGCACTCCCCCTCCTCTAAGTAAGTAGGACTACAGACACGTACCATCAAACCTGGCTAGTTTTTGTATACTTTGTAGAGACGGGGTTTTGCCATGTTGCCCAGGCTGTTCTCAAACCCCTGGGCTAAAGCAGCCCACCTGCCTCAGCCTCCCAAAGTACTGGGATTACTAGCATGAACCACCAGGCCTAGCCTCGAAGCTGGATATCTTTAAGGACTAGTTCTTAGCAGTCTTCCATGGACACTGCGCTCAGTATATAGTTGATACTGGGCAGGTGGGTGGGTGGGTGGATGGATGGATACATATATGGATGGACCAGGACAACGGTTGCCCTCTAACCTACAAAGTAGGAATCTGTCACTTCTTTATAGTTTAAACAAGGAACTTCAGAAAGTTCATGAAACCCCTAAAATTGTAAAATTTTGAATGTCTGTGTCTGTTCCTTTTTTGTTACGAAGAAAGTTCAGAACAGCTTTCATCAGAAGGCTTATATTCCACAAAAAGTTCAGAACTTCTGGTTTAAACTTCTAGAATGATGTAATTTAACAAGTGATTGTAATCATTGTCCAAGCTTCCTTCACACACACACACACACACACACACCACCACCACCACCACCACCCCTGCACACACACACACCCCACACACATCTGCCGCCTGCTCTATCTATAACGTCATCTCTTCTCGCTTTCTCTCCCCTTCCTGTACAGTTCACCCGTCTCAGGAGCCTGGCTGGTTGGAGGGGACTCTGAACGGAAAGACTGGCCTCATCCCTGAGAACTACGTGGAGTTCCTCTAACCGTGGGCCCCAGCAGAACTGCTGAGCTTTACATGGTATCCATGACAACTGCTGATTCCAGTGTCATAGGCCATTTCTCTTTGCCACCGAGAAATGCAGCGTGACTGACTCTGTTGCTGCCTGTCAACATGAATGTTTCTGTGAGCTCTGGTGTCACTCATCTCCATGATCATCTCAGCCAATACTGATCAATACTGCAAGAAACAGAAGTCAATCAGCAGAGGAGGCCATCTGATTTTGATAACTGAAAGACTTGCAAAGCCGTTTTCTCATGAGTATCCTAAATAGGGGGCACTCATTTTGTTTCAGCGGTCCAAACGCCCAGCCTTCGGAAAGAGGAAGTCAGATAGCAGTACCCCAGAACATACCGCGTAGTTAAGTCTGATGGGGCTGGATGAAGAAATTGGCGCTGAGATCCAGGCTGGATCATTGCTTTTGTTTACAGTAGGCATGCTCTCCACTCCACCTCTCAGTACTTGAGACCTACATTGCTACAGGCAGCTAGGTCTGTTCGCATGCAGGATGAAGAGGGTTAAAGCACTGTTTATGTAAGATCCGATCTCTCACCATCTCTAAAGCAGCCGTTGGCCGTCATCAGCAAGATTCAGTCCAGTGTTCTCATGCACAGGAATACACACACCCTGTGTTTCTCCCTCCCAGGCTAGGAACCTCTCTGCCACCAAGGCTGCTATCCATCGCCTAGTAACCACAGCAACCCAACCTACTCTAAAACCAAACCAAAAAAAAAAAAAAATCCTCTTTGCATGACACGTTTTTTTTTTTCTCTCTCACCTTTTTGGTATACTTTTTTGACTGGTTTTCTAACAACTTGAAGCAAAGAATCAAGGAATTAGGGTGGTCTGCTTGAGGTAGATGGGATAGTAGCTGGGACTCTTCCCTTTCTGATGAATTTCAGCAGCATCAGGATATATTTGGAGCACACTCTAGTAACCTCTTAAGATTGAATTACATAGTCTTGATGCTGCCTCCCCATGGATGATGTCATCTGACTGGTTCCTCCATGTCCTCCCATTCACCCATCCCCACTCTCACCCTTGCCTGCCTCTAACCCACCACTGGCCCCCCCCTTGCCCTGCTATGGGCTGCTGAACACTGGTGCTGTGGTGGTTTTCAAGGATAATTCCTAGGCTAACCTTACGGCCTGTAGCTTAAAATGACGTCTATGTTGACTGCCATTCAGAAAAAGGGAATTGTTTCTCAGTCTTTCAAGGCATGAGACTAATGTAGTTTATTGTGATTCAGGAAGAAACCAAAGGTTGGGGGGTGGGATGGGTACCCTTTGAATAAGGGAATTTGCTGGTGAAAAGAGGCTGGGTCTTATGAAGACTGCCTTGAGTGGGGAAGTTCTGCCTGGACATTTCAAATTCACTTGGCCTTCAAACAGCAGAGTCATCCATATCTCCCGTATGTGAATGTCTTTGCAAGGGTGACGCTAGACAAACTACAAACCGATGGACCATCAGGCTCCCCAGGAGCCCCTTGGATGGCAGCATTGCTTCAGAGTGTTTCCTGTTTCTGGAATTCCTTGTTAGGGAACTTTAAAGAAGAAAAGAAAAACTTGAATTGTGTTGAATTACTGTATCTTTTACGTTTTTTTTTTTTTTTTTGAAAAGATAAACTTGTAAATAGAGTGATTTGAAATACTATATGGCAAAGTTTTATATTTGATATTCTTTAAGCTAGTTGCTCATACACTTAGGCTTGGATTGCTGAACAGGTATGTTTAAGAGGGAGAGAGAGGAGGCAAGCCTGGAGAGAGTCAAGGTTGCTGTCCCCCCTTCAGCCTGAAGGAAGGAGAGCACATGCCCTTGCTCTCTGCTGCCCTGTTGGTGGGCATGACTCATCAGTTGTGTTCAGTCTTCTTTATGTGTTTCTGAGCATTCCTTGGGCTTTGGATTTGGAGATGGGAAGAGCATCTCCAGGCAATGAGTTTTTTGAAGAGTGCCTACTTAGTAGTAAGATGAAGCTCAGGACTTAAATAGGTGGGTCCAGGCATATGATTTTTCGTTTCTCTTCTCAGGTGTATTTCTTGGTACCCCCTAGATATCAGGACAGAAAGAGATGAGTCAATTGCTGGGCTCCTTACTTCTTTCTTTACTGCACATCTTCTGAGGCTTTAGAAATGTAGATGAGCTAGCTTGTTTTCAGATTTCATGTGCATCTGTAGGTTCTTAAAAAACCAACTGCTTAGAATCTTTAGTTCTCAATGTGCTGCTGCTTTCCCTTTTCCTAAACATTTTTAAACTCTTCCCTCTCAGCTCCAATTCCCTATGATCCCAAAAGAAGAAGACTCCAGAAGGGATGTAGATTGTGCCATCAGAGCTTTACAGGTGGCTTTAAAGTTAACAGGGGTTTGTCATTGTGATTCACTACTCAGTTTATCAGCTCAAGGATTATATGGCTCTTTTCCAGGAATTCACCCAGGAGCGAGGCACTACCATTGATTCAGGGAATAAGAATTAAGAATGGACAGGACCAAGATAGAACTCAAGAAAGCCGTCGGGGAAAACTCGAGAAGAAAGGGAATATACTAATAGGTTAGTTCTGTGGACTTGAGGACAAGAAGACATTGGGAAATGGGGCCCTCAGGGAATGTGCATCCAAGGAGAGACCAGCATAATGCTTTTAACACATTTGATGGGGTTTTTTGTTTTTGTTTGTTTTTTGAGATGGAGTCTTACTCTGTGGCCCAGGCTGGGTTGCAGTGGTGCAATCTCAGCTCACTGCAACCCCTACCTCCCAGGTTCAACTGATTGTCCTGCCTCAGCCTCCCGAGTAGCTGGGACTATGGGCATGAGCCATCATGCCCAGATCGTTTTTTGTATTTTTAGTAGAGACGGGGTTTTGCCACATTGGCCAGGCTGATCTCGAACTCCTGACCTCAAGTGATCTGCCTGCCTCATCCTCCCAAAGTGCTGGGATTCCAGGCGTGAGCCACCACGGCCAACCACATTTGATGTTTGAAGTTGTCATCTGCCCCATAATAAACGTACCTGGAGCTCATGTGGAGGAACAGGAGGCCAAGATCCTTGCTTTGGGAGTGCCTCACGAAGCATTCCTGTAGACACTTGGCCCCAGCTTCACTGCTTGAAAGTATGACTCTCCCTCCTGAGTTGGCTCTGATTTGAAACCGGGGGAAACAGAGCTGCTGCCAATGGGATCTTTTAGGTAACCTCCTCCCCAGCTTCCCTGTGGCTGTGCAGTGCCCATGAGCTGCTGCCAATGGGATCTTTTAGGTAACTCCCTCCCCAGCTTCCCTGTGGCTATAACGGTGCCCATGACAGATGGCTGCTCTGTTTCCCTTTGCCCAGCCAGGCTCCCCTCCTTCCTATTAGCTACAAAACTGGATAATCTTCAGAATATGAGCCAAAGAGTAGGAAGGAACTCGAAGACAAAATATTTTACTCTCTCCCCAGTCCATGCCCCCTACCTCTGACTCTCTGTGTGAATAGGAAACGTTAGGGCAGATTAGGAGAATGAATTGGTTATCAGAGTGGAAAACCATGGCCCAGGATCCCTGAGCTTTCCCAGTAGCCTCCAATTTCCTCTGTAAGGCCCAGGGATCACTTAGCCAGAGTCTGAATCTTTTAGGAGTATTAAGGTCAGCCTCTCTTCCTTCAGGTTACTAGCAAAATTTCATAGCTAAAGAATGCCATACCAGGAGAAGATAGCTAGATTCAAATCCCTGCCCCCAGGCAAGTAAAACGCTGACTTGCTCGAGACTGAAGATCTTCTCTCCTGTTTTTCAAAATAAACATATATAGGGATGGACCGTGTGCAGCGTGGCCTGCCTCGGTGTCCTAGAATTGGAGCCAGTCTTTAGCTTAATGTCTTAAGTATTTCTACGGCCAATATGTGTTTTTCTTATGTCAGACCAAACCGTCTTTTTGAACATTGGTTCATTTCCTCTCACTGAGTGCTTTTTGGACAGAGAGGCAAAGAGAAAGAATGAGCAATCAAGTATTGACAAACCGGCATTAGCAGGATGGAGCCATACTAGTAACAAGGACATTCCAAGGCACTTGCCCAGAGCTGCAGAGTTGTGTGAGCCATACCTGCAGCTCAAAGGGAAGGACTTCTACCCCCTGAGTTTCTATCGCCTGAAAATGGCAACTACTGTCTCACTAAAAGCTCTGTCTTGGCTACAGAGGCTCTGAAAGCATTCACAGTTGAGGGGGAGGGAGACAGAAACAAGAAGCCAAAATAACCTGATCCCTGCCGGTCTGTTGGCACCTGTCATCCTCTGGCTTCTGCTCCCAAAAGCAAGTCTGGATGACTGAGTTTTGTGAACATGATGCTCCCAGAGACAGCAGTGGCCACCATGGCACCCAGAGTTTGCCCAAGTACTGAATGTTTTATGAGCAATCATATTCCCAGGTAGGTAGCCGGCACTGCAGAAACCAAACGGCCTCTTAGCTGACTTGAAAAGGAATGACCTAGGTGTTCTGTCAAGGGAGTTATCTATCATCTCTGGTAAACTTGACAATAATCACTTACCTCGATGACCCTGCCCCATATCCCTTTATAAAGGCAGGAGGGTGTCCTCTCCCACACCCTGTGCTGGTGTCTAAAAAATGTATCTTGTGTTGCTCAAATGTGTTTGGCAGCCACACCAATCAGCTGGGTGCTGAACCGCTTCTCTGTAATTGTAGCATCAAAATGACAACGGCAGCGGAGCAGCGAATCTTGCACAGTCCCATAGCATGCCTGCGACAAGACTCCAACAAGTAATTAACATTTTTCTCCTGCCGCCTACAGCACCTGTCTATCTAACTAAAGAGCTTCCCAAGTGGAGGGAAAGGCCATAGAGAGAATCCAGGTGTCATTAGAGTTAGTCCTGCTGAAATGTGGTCTTCCAGTGGAAGCACCTGTATTCTTGGGAGGTAAAAATGCTGGGTACAAAGTAAGACCAGGACCAGAGAGAAAGAGAAAGGTGAACCATCCTAAAGGAGCTTTGGTTACTTTTTTAGAAGGATAAATACTGTTCTTACTGGGGAGAAAAACGATCACAGAAAAATTTCACAGCTAATATTTTTACAAAAGTTATGGTGAACATTGCAAAGTGAATACATCTCTCAAGGTGGAATGGTTTAGAGAGCGAAGGCGTAGCACAGTCCTGGACCCATGTATGGGTAGCAGTTAGATTATCTCAAAATTCGCTTTAGTATAGTCAGAACCAGAGTATTGATCAATGAAATGTCAGTTACCTGGAGCAGTCCTGGAGAGGCTAAGACATTCTATACTATTCTACATCAACCATTTCTACAAACCTGTCCAGACACCTAAAAGCAGCTTTCTTGGTTATCCAGATGCCAGAATCTACCTTGTATCTGACAATGTACATCTGTTGATTCTAAAGTATCTCTTTCTCTCTCTCTCTCTCTCTCTCTCTCTCTCTCTGTGTGTGTGTGTGTGTGTGTGTGTGTGTGTGTGTACAGCACATATTTACATCTAGGAAGACACAGACACTCATAGAGACCCACGTGAGCTGGTACTTGCTGAGCCTTTACAGCCTTTGTAAGACTTGGAGGTTGAGAATTAGAGACACAAGACAGGCTGTTGATTGCCTATTAAAATGATCAAAGATGTAAATTCAGTGCCATTTTAAAACTGTGTTTGTATTTATCAAATGGTTACTATCTACAGCTATATTCTCTGTTAACTTATTTAAAGTCATGTTGCAAAAAAGATCAAACCCGTGAATGCATAGAACCTACGGCTAGTGCTTAAAAGCACTCTAAAAGACATTTTATCCATATTTCAGAAAAGAAAATATTTGCATGTTTAATTCATAATTTAGGCTACCTTTGAGTATACTGTAAAGTGCTGTGTGATATATCAATAAAGTACTTATTAATGGCACTTCAATGTTGTCTTTTAAAATAACAAATAACGCACTGTTCTAAAGTTCAGTATTGACCATTGACTGGTGCATAGAATCCAGTGCTGTAATTAGAAGGTAATCTGTGACTAGAATAGAACTTTGTCCCTGTTAGTAGCCCTGTTGCCATGTTCAGGCTTTTAAAAAATGTGCTTTTGTGTCACAAAATATATCTATAAAGAAAACAGAATTTCTGTTCAGAGGCCTCTGAAACTTGGTTTTCTTACATTTGGTTGGTGTATGTGACAGTCCCTACGAAATGAGTGGATGTATGGTTTTTGAATTAAATGTCTTTTCCATTTGGTGGTATCTTTGTTGAGTTTCTGGTAGAGTTTGACTCAATACATATTTTAATGTGTCTTCAAATAAGTATATATAGACAATGATGAAAGGTCACAAGTCTTGGCTCCTGAAGTTTTTGGTGACAACCACAGTGCTGATTTCTGGTGAGCTCTGAGAAGCTTTGCTTTCCATTTAGGAAGCGGTCAGATGCTCGGAAGCCTGAGAATTTGCTCATCAGGCATATTAAACTGAGCCCGAAGAGTCATAGCCCGCTTCACATTTCTAACGTATTTCTCTTAGAATACATATTGTTTTATTCTTCCTAAATTTGACTTTCTAATCACCTGTTTTCTGGAACCTCATGAACACAAGGATGGAATCATCAGAGCCAGAACGCAGGCAGTGCCCCCCGCACAGCTGATTTGTTAATCAGTTGTTTAGAGATCGTCGCGTGCTGTCCCAAGCCAACCCAGATCACTGAGTCTTCGCATTCAT